GTTTGCTTGCGGATATCGTGGAGTAGAATAACTAACTTTGATTCCCCAGTCCGCACAAAAGGCATCAAACTCGTGTGAAATGAATTGTGGTCCATTATCAGTAACTATTTCGTATGGAACTCCATGCCGACATATAATGTTTTTCCAAATAAAGGTCTTCACGGCCGAATCCTTGATACCAACATACGCCTCAGCTTCAATCCATTTTGAAAAGTAGTCCGTAAGGACTAGAAGGACTCCCACATAATCCTTCATGCACTTCGTTCATGACGATCTCGACTTTCCGCACAAAAGGCATCAAACTCGTGTGAAATGAATTGTGGTCCATTATCAGTAACTATTTCGTATGGAATGGAGTTGACAGCGCTTGCATCTTTGGGCGAACTTAACACAATCTGTGATCATAGTGGGCCAAAAATAACCCATTCTTTTAACTTTAAAAGCCATAGCTCTTCCTGATGAATGACTCCCACATAATCCTTCATGCACTTCGTTCATGACGATCTCGACTTCGGGCCCAAAAATGCACAATAGGTAAGGGTCACTGACACCTCGTCTATATAACGCATCCCTTGACAGACAAAATTTCGCGCTAACGACTTTCATTTTCCTGGCCTGCCATTTATTCTTTGGGAGCTCGCCTGTCGTGATGTAGTGCTTTATTGGCTCCCTCCAGTCAGCCCCCCAGTCTTTAGCCGGAATTTGGTCAACTTTGTGAAATATTCGTGGCTCTGGTTCGGGATGTTCATTTGGTTCAAGAATATCCTCCTCGATTAATGGTTCGGTTTCCAATATTGTTTCTGGAATCACATCCTCAGCTAAGACAACGGGTTCCTTGTTAGATATGTTTGATCCCTTTTACTTTCTTCGTTTGTTGGGTGGCGGTTCGGTCTCTAGTTCACCACGGTCGCGCGCCGCTGCTCGAGACCTTGTAACAACGAGGGTTTCCTTGCTGTCCTGAATGCTTCGCTCCGAGATACATTCTACTGGAATAACTCTCTTCAACTCAGGGTCCGATGTTGATGCCAATGCGGCAAGTGCATCTGCAGTTGTATTCTCTCCCCGAGGTATACGGATTAATTCAAATTTCGAGAAATTTTTAGATAGATCCTTCACCACTTCGAGGTATGCTTCCATTCTTGAATCTTTGGCTTCATAGTCTCCATTAAATTGGTTAACTACCAATTGCGAATCGCAATAAGCCAATATTTCCTTAGCTCCAACTCCTTGTGCTAGTCGAAGTCCGGCAATAAGGGCTTCGTATTCTGCCTCGTTGTTGGAGGCATTGAATAACAATCGGAATGATTGTTCTAGAATTTCTGATGTCGGAGATTCCAACCTAATTCCCACTCCGGATCCTTGCTTTGTTGAAGACCCATCTACGTGTAACTTCCAAGTTTGGTTCTCCGGTTGATCCATCGTTCCAGGTATTGGTAGTTCGGTCAGGAAATCTGCTAAGACCTGAGCCTTCATACTGCTCCGGCTTTTGAACTCTATGTCGTACTCGCTTAATTCCACCGCCCATTTCGCCAAACGTCCGGATTGACTTGGACTATGAAGTATTGTTCTGAGTGGTTGGTTAGTTAATACTTCAACCGGATGGGATTGAAAATATGGACGCAGCTTCCGGGCCGAAGTTACCACTGCTAGTGCAAGTTTTTCCATCATTGTGTATCTGGTTTCCGGATCCGTCATTGACTTGCTCACGTAGTAAATTGGTTTCTGCTCCCCACGGTCTTCCCGAACCAAGACTCCACTAACCGCGTGGTTTGAAACTGAAACGTACAAGTAGAGTTTTTCATCCACTTCCGGTTTGGACAGTATAGGTGTCATCCCAAAGAAATCCTTTGTTCCCTTCTAGAATATGCTAGAAAGGCAACGACTGATCTGTTGATCTCGAGATAAAACGATTCAAGGCCGCAATCCGCCCAGTCAACCATTGTACTTCTTTGAAGTTTTTCGGAGATGGCATGCTTAGAAAGGCGTTAATTTGATTTGGATTGGCTTCAATCCCTCTTTCTGTCACGATATAGCCAAGGAATTCTCCGGATGGGACTCCAAATGTGCACTTCGCCGGGTTCAGCTTCATTTGATATTTATTGAGAATATCAAAACATTCTTCCAAATGTTTAACATGATCTTCTTTCTTCAACGATTTAACCAACATATCATCTATGTAGACTTCCATAGTCTTCCCGAGGTGATTGTGAAACATTTTGTTCACCAACCGTTGGTAAGTCGCTCCTGCATTTTTCAAACCAAAAGGCATTACCTTGTAACAGTAGATACCTTTATCTGTGATAAATGACGTCTTTTCTTGATCGTCGGGGTCCATCATTATCTGATTATAACCCGAGAAGGCGTCCATGAATGTTAACAGCTCATTTCTAGCGGTGGACTCTACAAGTCGATCTATATGCGGGAGCGGGAAACTATCTTTGGGACATGCTTTATTTAGGTCTGTAAAGTCGATGCAGACCCTATCTTTTCCATTCTTTTTCTTGACAACGACAGTGTTTGCTACCCACTCCGGATATTGTACTTCTCTTATGGACCCTATCTTCAAAAGTTTATCCACTTCGTCGTTTACTATTTTTGCCCGCTCCACTCCAAGCTTTCTTCTTTTTTGTTTCACCGGTTTGAAGCTTGGATCTACGTTCAGTTTATGGCAGATTATACTCGGATTTATGCCCGGCATGTCCGCTGCTGACCATGCAAATGACGCTTTGTTTTTCCTTAAGAGTTCGATCAAAGCTTCTTTTATTTGGCCAGTCAAAGTTGCTCCAATTCTAATTTTCCGGTCTGGCTTGTCTTCTTCCAGTTCCACTTCGACTACTACATCCTCTTTCTTCTGCCCACTAGGAAACTTTGTTTTTTGCCCTTCTTTCACGGGCTTCGTTAATTGCTATTGAATCTTCATACGGTGGCTAGCTAAGTAGCATGTTCGCGAAGCTTCTTGGTCTCCCCGAATTGTTTCCACCCCATTCGATGTTGGAAATTTGATACATTGATGGTATGTAGAGGGAACTGCTTTCATTCGATAAATCCAAGGAGTCCCAAGGATGATGTTGTAAGCTGCGGGCTTATCGAAGACGACGAAGTCCACAATTTTCGATACTTTTTTGGCAAGGACCGGTAGCTTGATTGTCCCGAGAGACATGGCTGATTCGCTAGTGAATGCCACTAATGGAGTCGGAGGTCCTACTATGTCTCCTCGGCTGATTCCCATTTTTTCTAGAGTACTTAAAAAGATCAAGTCGACCGAACTGCCTGTATCTATAAGGATCCTTGATACTTCGAAGTTTGCGACATCAAGAGTAATGACTAGAGCATCGTCATGCGGTCTTTCGAGATGCCGCGTTTCTTCTTCGTTAAATGATATTGAAGCACTTTGAAAATCAACTTCTTCGCTCAAACTTGCTTTGAGTAAGACATTTCGTCTATGTTTTTTGATGGAACTTATTGAATCTCCGCAAAATCTGGAACCTCCTAGAATCACATTGATCTTCCCCTTCGAACTCCTTGGTTCTTCCTCGTTGGATAACCTTGGTCTTTTGGAATCTTGATCTTTGGATTTTTCCTTTGCTTCGTGGTATTTCTTCACAAAATCCAAGTGTTTGATCTTCCTTTCCCTTGGAATTGCTTCCCGACGGAATTGTTGAAGGGTTGCGACCCAAACTTCCTTGGTCCTTTGCTCTCTTTAGGCTTGAACTTCTTGGTAGGGACGGTGATTGCCGGCTTTTCTTGTTTATTCCGTTTGGCAAAACTTTCTTTTTCGTCTTCTACCTCCATCCAATTGTTTGCGCGGAAGAGTGCATCCTGAATTGTGTCTGGTTTATGAAGTATTAAGTCTTCTTTAAACCTTGAATCATGTTGCAATCCTTTTCGTAGGGCGGATAAAGCCGATTGCTGGGAGATTCTTGGGAGTTTTGACAGCACTCCTTTGAATTTGGTGATGAAAACTCGAAGTGACTCATTAGATCCTTGCATTAAGTTCCAAAGATCGGCATCCGAGACGGTTTTATCCATAAGGATAGAGTATTGCTTTAAGAATACGGCTGATAGTTCGTCGAAATTGCTGATCGAACCCGGCTCTAATTGGGTGAACCACATTAGAGCTTGGCCACATAGATTTTCCGAAAACAGCTTGCAATAGCCTGCGTCCTCATCAGCTTCATCCAACTCGACTCTTCCCGCAGCGATCAGAAAGGCTGCAAGATAGCTTTTTGGATCCTCCAATCCGCTGTAAGGGTCCGACTTGAGCTTCCGGGAATCTTTGATCCTCAAACTTGCAATTCGCGGGATAAAAGGGGTTCGCCTAGCTTCTTCAATGACTCGATTGATGTCTGGCTCCGAACTTGTAGCCTGATGAAATTTTGATTTCATTTCCTTTAATTCTTGGCTAACCTTCCTCATGGTCTCGAACTGGTTGAGGTTCTCCTGCTCGTACTGAGCTGCAAGTTGCTCTTCATCCTCGAGCTGCGTCTCTTCTTCCGACGTCTGAGCTACATTATTAGTAGCACCGGGAGTTGTTTGCCCGCTGGTTTCATTTCGTGCAGCGGAACTTGGCGAGTTGAATATCCCTCTTCGGGTTCCCACCGGGTTTCCTGCACTTAAAGAGCGAACACGAGTTTGTATATTATTGACGTTTTGACTAAGAGATACCTGGGATGTTTGCAATGTATCGACGGCCCTCTCCACATCCGAGAACTTTTGTGATATGTCCGACATGGTTTGCTGCATAGCTTTGAGGGTTTCGGCCAATGATGTCTCAACGGCGTCTCCTCCGGACATTGTTGTTTATCTCGGAAATGTAGAAAAGAAGAAATCTGACCACCCAAGAATCCTGAGATCCCCACAGACGGCGCCAAAATGTGGATGTCGGATTTACACACTCAAGTATTTTTGTTAAGTGGGAAAGTTTATTCTTGAGGGACAAAAATGAATATATAAAAACTTATGAATTGATACGAAAATTGCTATATTATTTTTCTCTCCAGAGGATGATCCCCTTTACATGGCCATCGGCCTCTATATTTATACACCGATAAACGACATTAAAATGAGTAATTAAGCACAATTATTTCTTCTTAAATGTGTCCGTTTTGATTCTTCGGCTTTAATGCTCAACGTTTGAATTTGAGTTGATTCTGATCTTCATGGGCCTCGCCTCTTTCGGCCCAAGTGTCCGTGAACCGACTTACCCGTGTCTTCTACACCGAACTCGTGTCATAGTGTAGTCACTTCGGATTCTCGAAATGGTGACAACCACTTCGACCGTCCCTTCGGCTCACGGGTCCAATGGGCTTCATCCTTTATGGGCCATTATCTTGATCACGTGGCAATCTTTGGTTGGTCTCGTACTCCTGGTGCGGGATCCGACACCAACAATCAACATACATAACAATATTATTACATTATCCATTTTAACATAACATCATACCAAGTTTTAAACAAAATAAAGCTAACATTCTATAGACAACTTCAATCTCATCCCCTCTATGTGCGTTGCCTTCCCATTAGCTTGCTCTTTCTCTCCTTCAAAGAACTTAGGTTGTCTCATTCCAAGCAATTCTCACTTCACTGCCTTCTCCAAAGCAACAATAGTCCTAAAAATGCAGTACAATAGACAAGCTTATTAGCTTCAAATTTCCTTAAAATGTAGGGTATATCTACTAAATAATCTGAACTGATCAGCTGCTAACCTTATGAAAACATGAGAAATCAAAGAGTATTAGTTTACATTGAAGTCTTGATGCCGAAAGGAAAGCTTGTGGATAGCCTGAATTAGTTTGGAACTGAAATTGCCAAAACCAAAACCATCAAGAGTAACAAAGACGAAGTAAAGTAAATAACCTTCTAATTTTTATGAAGAAGGTTGGATCTCATTCTGTTTTGCTTGATCAAGCTTTGCGATAGCCGAATATGATAGTTCCATCATGTTATCATTGTCTCTATTTTCTTGAAGTATCAAGGGATAAGAATTCTAATCTCATTTACTAGGCAAATATTTAATAAAATAAGCATTAAGATTCATAAGGAAAATGAACCTGTCCTTATTGACCGGTTTCATTGCTCACATGGGAATTAAACTAGCCTTGACCAAAAGAATTTGTAATCCATACTTCTTCATCCTCCTCAAGAACAAGAGATGAAAACTTTCAACAATGTTGAGTATCCATCTGTGATACAAAATTGCTGCAAGAAACATAGTTTTGATATCCAAAATCAAATAAGAATTCACGATTACTCAAAAGATGAGCAAAATAAGAGAAACAGAGAGATCAAACAAATCACTAACCATTTAAAACCTGCAAACACATAGATGAATAAAGCATGTATCCTCCACTTAGACTAGCCCATTCACCTTCTCATTTACAAGCAAACACTCTTACTAACCAATTTCATTCTAACTTCTCAATTCCAGACCTAGAAACTAAACCAACCATCATCATTACTCATGTTCTGTCTCGAAGCAAAGGACATATACATTACCGTTTATATTTCTGATGTAGCAGAGACAACATTCAAGTGTGGAATATCGTCGAACACTTGGCGTGCTAGACATGGCAGATTCGAATCCACGAATACAACCAGCTTGGGAACATAATCATACTCGAGCAAGGATAACTCTGATTTCTTTGTTTTACTACACTCAAATCGTCAACTAATTCTGCTTGTTCTTCCTCTCAACCCTTCTTCATCTTTTCTTCTCCAAACTCTCACGTTCTTGCTTTAGCCCTTGTTGCTTCTCATGTTCTCCATCATCAGATTCGTTATGCTTTTATGATTCTTTATCAGTAAACTCTGTTGCTGACGAGACCTATGAGAGTAAGATTTCATCCGCAGAGTTTTACCGAAAGTAAGAGAAACTAAAGACCAACCTTGCTTTTAGATCTGTGTGGGAAATAGGAGATGTTTACCCCAAAAATCCATTGTCGTAAGAGGTTATGACCTGAAGGCGACGATGCGTCGAAGAAGATGGTTTTAGAAGAAGATTAGGCTTCTTATAACCACAAAGATTTTTGGGAGGAGAGACGCCGAAGAAGAAGAAGAAGAAGAAGAAGAAGAAGAAGAAGAAGAAGAAGAAGAAGAAGAAGAAGAAGAAGAAGAAGAATTTGGACCTTGGATGATTGGTATGGAGCAGATCTGGATTTCTGATTAGGGTTTTTGCAAATGTTGATTTGGGTTTTATGTTTTGGGTTTTATGTTTTTTTTTGTTTTTTTTCTTTGTAGTAATATTTGACAAAATGGTGGCGGTCACATGCGAAATTTTAAGTTTTCGTTCTAATTTTCGCTAAGTGTTGGTGGTCAAAGTGATTTTAGTTTTCAGATCTGAATTTTAATTTTTTATTTTGCTATTACAAGGCTTAGCATTGTTGAAATGCTATGATATTGTTATCAAATCCCGAACACATCTTTAATAGCAAATACGAAAACCGTGCTATCCTAATATGCTATCAATGCTCATATTTCTTGTAGTGATAATTGCCCAAACATAAGTCTTATGTTCTTATTTACATTCTAAGCTCTAGTGTTGTGATACGACGAGGTCACAGCCATCAATTGGTATCAGAGCACGTGTGCTCGGACCAAATTTTTTTTTTTTCATTCTTACCACCACCACCACAAAATTCCACCACCAACATCTAAACGTAAACCACCCAAAGTCAGAGAGTTATCGCAAGCATCAATGGCTAACGTCAAAGATAGGCTTGACGAGCTTGAGAGAGGGCTGGGCTTGGTCACCGAGGATCTACACAAACTACGAACAGATCTGAGTGACAAGCTCCGTCTAATGGAGGAAGCAACTACGGAGAGGCATCAACGCATTGAGGACTCAAATACCACCTTGGCTGAGTCGATGCGGCGGTTGGTCGAGACAGTGACAGGTCTCCACGAAGGCGTACAACAGATCCCCCGAGTACCGCCACGACCCGATCAACACCTACAGGTTGGACGACGAGATGATGTAGCAGCCCCTGTCACAGCACCGGTTAACCACTACCGACACATTAAGCTGGTTTGCCCACGATTTGATGGTGGGGATCCCACGGAGTGGCTGAGCAAACTTAAGCAGTACTTTGCCTTCCATGAGATACCGATGGTACAACGGGTTAGTTTCGCATCGTATCACTTGACGGCAGAGGCCAACGCTTGGTGGCAAGCGACTTCAAAGGCGCTGCAACTTGATCTAACTGCAACGGAATGGACGACGTTCGAGAATGAGCTATGGGTCTGGTTCGGACCTTCCGAAGGCGAGAATTTTCATGAAGCGCTATCCAAGATTCAACAAACAGGATCACTACGTGATTATCAGAAAGAGTTTGAAAGGCTGACAAACAAGGTTGAAAACTGGTCAGAGGACGCATTGGTAGGCACTTTCCTTGGTGGATTGAAAGACAACATTGCAGATCATGTCCGTATGTTCTCACCAACCACAATGCGAGCCGTGATCAAGTTGGCTCAACTCCGCGACGAACAGCTCCAGAAGCAACGCCGGTCTTTTACCCCCCGCGCCTCTCTACCAGCAAGTACATCCCATTCACCCATACCAACAGCAACACCTAAACGGTTAAGCTGGGAGGAGATGAAGCGTAAACGGAGCTTGGGCCTATGCTTTAGTTGCGATGAACGATACACACCTGGCCATAAATGTAAGACATCCCAACTCTTACTTATGCTCGGGACAGACGCAGAGGAAGAAGAAGAGGAAGAGATCTTCCACGACACCACTGAACTTGAGATCACGTTACAATCCCTCACTGGCTGGGATTCACCAAAGACAATGCGAGTCGAAGTGCTTGTCAACAGGCAGCGATTGGTAGCATTGATCGATAGCGGCGCGACACACAATTTCATTAGTGACAAGGTGGCTAATCGATTGAATCTCAAATTGTCTCCGACAAAGCCATTCGCCGTATGGGTAGCCGATGGCCACCCACTTCAATGTCGCGGAGCTTACCGCCACACACCGATGATTCTCGGAGACGTTATCTTCACCGTTGACTTCTATGTCCTCCAGTTATCCGGTCTCGATGTCGTGCTTGGTGTTCAATGGCTCAAGAGTTTAGGGCCAACACTCTGCAATTGGAAAGCTCAAACTTTGGAGTTTAGGTGGGCCGAACGCTGGATACATATCCAAGGCCTACAGCAACAGAAGATTTCCAAAGCCCAATACGAAGAGGTGACAAAGCAAGCAAAATTGGGCCAGGCCTGTTTTGCATTAACGATTCAACGGGAGAACACCATCGAACCTGACATGGACGGCGAGATGAGAGAGCTGCTCAACAATTACCGTGACGTCTTCCAGACACCGTCGGCCTTGCCGCCTTCACGCGATATCGAGCACCATATCGCACTTAAGGAAGGATCGGACCCGGTAAACGTTCGCCCTTACCGTTATGCTCACTTCCAGAAAGATGAAATTGAGAAGCAGGTGCAGGAGATGCTTCACTCGGGGTTGATCCATCCTAGCTCTAGCCCGTTCTCTTCACCGGTGCTATTGGTTAAGAAAAAAGATGGGTCTTGGCGATTTTGCACAGATTATAGAGCATTGAATGCCGTAACCGTCAAAGACCGCTTCCCCATCCCTACTGTTGACGACATGTTGGACAAGCTGCACAGTGCAACGGTCTTCACCAAACTAGACCTTACGGCGGGCTACCATCAAGTCCGGGTACACACACCAGACATTCATAAGACTGCCTTCCGGACTCACAACAGCCACTATGAATACCTGGTAATGCCATTTGGTTTGTGCAACGCACCTTCTACTTTTCAGTCCCTCATGAATTCAGTTTTTCGGGATTATTTGCGGAAGTTTGTTCTCGTCTTCTTCGACGATATCCTTGTCCATAGCCGCTCGTGGACAGAACATCTGCAACATGTACAGATCGTGTTGACAATCCTCCAACGCCATCAACTGTTTGTGAAGCTAAAAAAATGTGAATTCGGGAAACGTGAGTTGGAGTACCTTGGACATATTATTTCGAGTGAAGGGGTGAAAGTAGACCAGAATAAGATCGCGGCGATGACGGAGTGGCCTACACCAACCACTATTACCGAACTCCGGGGGTTTTTGAGCCTCACGGGCTACTACCGCAAGTTCGTAAAGAACTACGGTACGCTTGCAAAGCCTTTAACAAATTTGTTAAAAAAGGGAAAGTTTGAATGGGTGCAGGAGGCAGAAGAGGCGTTTCTGAAATTAAAGCACGCGATGACAACAACTCCGATACTTGCTCTTCCGGATTTTGACACACCATTTGTCATCGAAACGGATGCGTCGGGCGATGGCATAGGTGCCGTTTTATCGCAACATGGGAAACCAATCGCCTACATGAGTCGCTCTCTCGGTGTGGCTAAACGCAACTGGTCCACATACGCAAGAGAAATGCTTGCTATCGTCATTGCTATCCAGACTTGGCGAACATATATCCTTGGGCGGCGTTTCACGATTCAGACCGACTAGCGCAGCCTGCGATTCCTCCTTGAGCAACGCATTCTCACTCCGGAACAACAAAAATGGATGGGTAAGTTAGTGGGCTATGACTATGAGATCACCTATAAGCCAGGGTCCCCTAACTCAGCCGCCGATGCACTATCTCGTCGCGCCAACAGCCCGTGTCTTAACGCCATTAGCAGTCCACAAGCCAACTTTTGGCAGGAGCTGCGTACGCTACAGTCCTCGGATCCGTATCTCCAAAGAGTGGGGAAATTGGCCGCATCTGCTCCAGGGAAACCATACTCGCGCCATAACAACCTCTTATGCTACAACAACCGCGTGGTTGTGCCCTCCGGTTCGTCGCTGGTCCAATCTCTCCTCCACGATTAACACGACGCACCCGCTGGTGGCCACTCTGGGGTACTCCGCACGTATAAGAGGTTAGCACAGCAATTTTATTGGCCAAGTATGCATAAGTCTGTGAAAGAATACGTTGCAGCGTGTGATGTTTGCCAAAGGGTCAAATCTGAAAGTCTCTCCCCCGCAGGACTTCTTCAGCCATTACCAATTCCCCGCCAGGTATGGGAAGATATCTCTCTTGATTTCATTGACGGATTACCAACGTCCAACTTCCACACATCTCTCATGGTGGTGGTTGACCGCCTCACTAAGTCTTGTCACCTGATTCCACTATCGCATCCATACACCGCCGTCACCGTTGCAGCTAAGTTCACGGATTTCATTGTGAAACTCCATGGAGTTCCTAAGTCAATTGTCAGCGACCATGACCCAATTTTTGTTAGCGGATTCTGGCGTGAACTTTGGCGTTTGTCGGGTACCCAATTATGGATGTCGTCAGCCTATCACCCTCAAACCGACGGACAGACCGAGGTAGTAAATCGTTGCATTGAACAATTCTTGGGTTGCTTTGTTCATAGCAGGCCGAACCAGTGGAGTTTTTTGCTTCCTTGGGCGGAATATTGGTACAATACAACGTATCACTCGTCTATTGGAATGACACCATTTCGGGCTATGTACGGTCATGATCCTCCAACGCTTGCCGGCTATGATTCTGGAACAACACCGGTCTTAGAGTTGGATGAGCAGCTACGGGAACGTGACGAGATCTTACAAGAACTGAAGGGTCATTTGGAAGCCGCTAATAACAGAATGAAGCAGACCGCAGATTCCAAGCGCAGGGATCTCTGTTTTGCGGTCAATGACTGGGTTTATTTGAAGCTCCAGCCTTATCGCCAACACACCATCTTCCGTCGTTCAAACCAGAAGCTCTCGACAAAGTACTTTGGCCCTTTTCAGATTGTTGAACGCATTGGACCGGTCGCCTATCGCCTACGCTTACCCGAAGGTACACGTGTTCACTCTGTTTTTCATGACTCCCTCTTGAAGAAACGCGTTGGGCCAGATGTTCCGACTACGGGTACCTTACCTCCTCTCCGAGCAAATGGGTTGTTGCGTCTACGTCCTGCAAAGTTGTTGCAGCTTCGTGATGTTTCTATCAATGGCCAAAACCAGCAGGAGGCGCTGGTCTTTTGGGAAGGGCTGCAACGTGAGGATGCTACTTGGGAAAATCTTGCTCAGCTCAAACAGAGTTTTCCCTCCTTGAACCTTGAGGACAAGATTCATTTTGGGGGAGGGTGTAATGATGGAGTCGCGGGTGGAAGTGCAGAACCGGAGAGAAGAACATCAAATCGGCTTCGAATTCCTAACCGAAAGTACACTTCGTAATGTCAATCTTGGTTCTGTTTTTCCTTTAATTTCTGTTTTAATTGTTGTTGATAATAATGAGGAGAATCGGTCTTCCTATTGACTAGGAACCATCTTCTCCACTTTCCCATTTCCCTTTGTTGTAGGAGCTACGACTCCACTTTGCTTCTTGTACTTGTCTATTTAAGAAAATGAAAAGCCAAAAAGAGGCAATCATAATTGCCCAAACATAAGTCTTGTGTTCTTATTTACATTCTAAGCTCTAGTGTTGTGATACGACGAGGTCACAACCATCAGATCTGTAGAAGAAGCTCGTCAAATCGTCGTTGTGATAGAGCTAAACTGGTGAGCGGAGAACCAGGAGCCCTCTCACAGCCATGGCAAGAAGCGCCAAAGACAGGAGAGGCAAAGCGCGGCGTAGATCTGAGATTTCCGGCTAGATTCAAGTTGGGAGAGAAATCGCAGTGCGTGACCCTCACACGCTCGATTCCATGTTTTTTTCTTTCTATCTCTCTTTCGTAGATTTTGATACATGGTAGTAATTATCTCATACAGAATTTAGGAACCGAACTGGCCTTTTTACATGTGCATGCGCATGTGATGTTTTTCTTCTACTTAGAACCGATTTTTAAGAAAGCATCATTATCAGAGCCAATATATCAATTTGAAAGACACATATATGTGGTCTTGGCTCTTTGATAAAAAAAAAAAAATGGTCTTGGGCTCTTGGCGCTCGTTTGTTCCAAGTTTCATATGGTACATAATCCAAAAATACAAAAAAAAAAAAAAAAATCTTTTCAATATATATGTCTTTTATAGTATGTTATTTTAATTTGTGATTAATTAGTCGTATTCGGGGATGTGCCTTTAGTCAAGTGGTTAAGTCCATTTGACTCCGTCTTCCCCACCAGAGTTCGACTCCGCCTTCCCCACCAGAGTTTGACTCCACTAAATCGCGTTACCCCACGTAGTAGGGATTGACTATACATCGGATCTTGTCGATCCAAAGATATCAAAAAAAAGATTAATTAGTTGTATTTATATCTATTAGATTCTATGACTGAATCATAGGTTATTCCGAGATTTTAGAGTGAGTCAATGATTGGTTTAATTTGGAACTGATTTAACTCATGTTAGGTGGGGATTGAAAACTGAAATAACCATGCATATTTGTATGAATATAAATTTTCTTCATACAATAGTTTGACTTAATTATATTTCTTACATATAATATGGCAACATAAAACATGGAAAAATACGTACAACCACAAATCACGCGCGGTAGTTACAGTCATTAAGATTTAAATATCTATGCGAATTCTTTTCTTTTGAAAACACCATAACAAACAAAAAAAAGTTGTAATAAAATCAAAACAGAGTAGAAGCCCCCTTGGCCTATTGGTTGACCAAGGGTTAATTAATGCTTCTACACCAAGAGGTCTGGGGTTCGAGTCCCAGATATTGCGATTTATTAATAAATTTGCAGATTAAAGGAGGCAAGTGTGCAGGAGATCTCTAGCGAAGTACAATTATAGCCGTTTGCCAGGATTCTACACCGAGAGAGAAATATCGTCAGGTTATGGATCATTGAAGGTGTCTGTCAAGAGCGTGAAGAATGAAGTGTCGTCTGTCGTAGATCTAATAAGGGTCGGAAGGAATTGTCCGTTGTAGAATCGTCTATATAACAGTTCTCATAATTTGCAATAAATAATAAATCTAGACGTCAAAAATAAAAAATAAAATCAAAACACATGTAATGTGAATTTGCCATGGACCGACATATTAAACTTTATTCTTTTCAAACATTATGAATATAAAATTTCAACGTTAACGACTTTAATTAAAATTAGAAGGAATCTCTGTAATATTTCACAGCTTCACACACTCTAAAATTCAAAAAAATAATATTTCAACCAAACCTCCTCAACATATATAAATAGTAACATAGCCACTTTATAACACATTTTCACATTATCCAATCAAAAAAACAAAAAAAAAAAAAACAAAGCAAAGCAAAGAGACAATGGGAAACAGCATTACTGTGAAGAGAAAGAGAGCTAAAGTAATGAAGATCGACGGCGAAACTTTCCGAATTAAAACTCCGGTGACGGCGAGAGAAGTCACGGCGGATTATCCCGGTTACGTTTTGTTAGATTCACAAGCTGTGAAACACTTTGGAGTTCGCTCTAAACCGCTTGAACCGAGCCAAATCTTGAAGCCGAAGAAAACTTATTTTCTCGTCGAGCTTCCTAAGCTTCCGCCGGAGACGACGGCGACAGATTCGGACAATAAGCTTCCGTACCGGAGAGTTATGTCTGGAATCCACGTTGGCGCGAAGGAGCGGTTAGAAATGTTGATGTTGTCTCGGAGAACAGTTTCTGACGTCACGATCGGGAGATCTGACGGCGGAGATGGGTTTGGGCCTGGACTTGGGCCTGGACATACGAGTGTGAGGTTGAGGTTGCCTCGTTCTCAGATTACGAAGCTTATGGAAGAGAATAATAATGATGCTTCAGCGATAGCTGAGAAGATTTTAGGTATCTACATGGAGAGGTCCGGTGAGCTTGGCGGCGGTAGAGGTGGTGGTGATAGCCGCCGGAAACTTGGAAGTGGGGAGATTAAAGCGCGTGAGGTAATTCTTGTTTTTACCTTGAGTTTTGGTCAAACAATTTTACCGCGTTAGATTTGTTCTTTGACCTTAAAATTTAAGCGTACAAATTCAACTTAATAGAATCTAAATAAGTGATATAAGCAACGAGCATAAGATAATTTCAACTACTTTCTAGTCGATAAGTCAACCGGTTAAATCTAGAACCATGTTTTCAAATTCTGAGTTCGAACACCGGTTAAAAACTACAATTAGTATGTTCTACTTTGAAGAGATGTATGAGTCTTGGTCCGGAACTTGTGAGATTATAAAAAATTATTAATAATAATTTTAGTGTCAACTATCATTTGAGGGAAATTTAAGTATTATATCCCGAAATTACGCAAATTGTTTAATTTGTTTATTGGAATAGAGAGAGTATAAATTGATGTAGAAGACAAGAAACAGAATTTAAGTTGTTAGGCTTTGCTTTGGAATTTGATTAGAGTTATATAATTATTATTGTAACCCACTAAGGCCACTAGGGTATATGTAACTTATCTATTTTTGTCATCTACCTACGTGAGTATGACGTAAGTCTGGTCATATATAAAAACAATTTACATAAACACAATCACATATGTATGATTTTTTTGTTTAATTCACATATGCATGTTAATATAGTTTTATCGGAGCAGGAGTAGACTTATAAATAGATTGACAAAGGAACTCGTAAATGGATTCACATACTCTTGAAATTGTGTATGTCTTAGTGTTAATATTATTACATTGTCTTAGAAACACATGGTTATTACTTCATAGAATATCTCTGATTTAAAAGATTGATGAAATATCATATCATAGTATCATACCAATTGATCAAGATCCTCTCGATCATCAAATGATTTGTCGGTTTGTTTTGGCTAATCATATATTATAAATTAATAAATAATTAAGAGTCAAAGAAGTAATTATATTAAATTAAACATGTGCAGAAGCAGGTGAGTTTTGCCGGAGAAGGTGGACGGGAGCTTCCTGTTCTATGGAGCAGAAGTGGAAAATAATCATCAATTAGACAAACTAATTCTCCTTTTCCATTTTTTAGAACCCTTTTTCTATTTATGTTCTTATATAAAGTTATTGTGGTAGGACTCCTATATTATGTTTATAAATATCTTTTATATAGCAAGTAGAGATTATTTAGAATTGTTTGTTTTCCTTTACGTTAATTAGTCTTTACATACTTTAACTTTAAGATATAAGAGCTAATGGACATGGTTGGGTGCCTACCCTACCCGTTACCAAATAATCAACGATCATTGTATATGGCTATATGCAATCAACTTTTTTAAGTATAAAAGTAAGATCCAAAATGGTTGGATTTTGAAGAAGAAAAAACTAAAATGATATTGCCTTTATTAGCAACTTTTAAAAGTAAAAAGTTTTGGGCAGTCCACTAAACGGGACTCGGTCTGCTGGCTATCCATTACGGTTACGGCTGTAATTATTGCCACAAACTGGTAAAAGTGGTTTGATAGAAACATAGAAGTAAGAGAGGACGACGTAGTTAGAAAACGTAGTAGTTAAGAATAGAGGATGGTATAGTTTAAGATGAAAAAAAAAACGATGTAGTTAAAAAAAATAAAAGTAGTAGTAAAACATAATGGTACTATAAAAATGACGGTTTAATTATATCTCGATTAAAAAAATGATAACATAAGATTTTTTTTTTTAAATAGAAAAATAATATAATTACAAATACTTATTCATTGATTGACATTATAAAGAAAACTATATATATTCACTTACATTTTAATGTACACTTGAATTAGTAAAAAAATTATTTTCTTACATACTTAACCGCCATAAAATGATGTAACCGCCAATTACGACATTTTTGTAGTCGACGATAAAAATACACCCATATGTAAAATAACAACTCGACTTGTACAGTAAAGAACCATAAGAAACTATTCAAACAGCATCACCATAAAATCTATGTCGACTCAATCCATGATTTTTAACAATATATATTCAAGAATTTAAGCATCATGCATGACGTAGATATTCCTAACGCTTTAGCCAATAATTTGGCTAACAACACTTCAACACAACTACTGAATCTAACTAGTACATCCCCACTTTTTCTTCTCAGTATGACTTTATAGTGATTTTGTAAAATTGGGTTGGAGAGATGCGAGTAATACCCAAAAAGCCATAGACTATAATCATCTAACATTTTCGGGATAAAAGAAAAATTATTTTTGTCTTTAATCTATAAACCATTTTTGTTTGTATGTATCATTAACATATCAACTCTCTTAGCCTTTTTATGGGTGGAAAAGTCGATTTTCTCTTTCGCCATTTTAAAAAAGAGGAAAGATATGGTACATAAGAGTGCTTTAGGTGCACCACTCTCCCACTAGATTTAGGCTAAGCAAAGCCTAACAATATTGACTTACACAAGCGCCATAATGTATATTTTTTATACATATTTAAATACAAAACATTGAGTTAAATTTGATAGACAAACGAGTATATGGAAAAAGAGTTATATTAATTGATATGCATATTAATTGATATGCATATGAAAAAAATATTATGTCACGATGAACCATCAATATAAATTTCACCGTCCATACTGAGTTTTGAGCCATACGTGAAAAACATCATGGTTGGGGCCTATCACGTGGGCTTGATTGGGTTTATGATTATCCTCGTTATCAAGATCAAGTCATTGGTGGATGGGCTGGAATTTCTATGTGATTGGGTCCATGTAAGACAACTTTTTATTCATGTTTATAGTGGACCATGTGGGAGAATCCAAAGCTAGTTTCAAGCTAAAATGAGCTTATTAAACTAAATAAAAATAAAGAAAATGAGAGTGAAATGAAATAGCTTATTAAAGTTTTATTAAATATAATGAAAGAAAAAAAAATGGAAAAAAAAAAAGAACTTTCTTTCGTCATAACATCATTAGATTAAATATCATTAATGATAATGTAGTAAGACGACAAAAAAAAGTAAAATGAAAAAACTTTAGTTTGTCACCAAAAGCTAAACGCTTTTGAATTTTTAGTTAATATTTCATAAAGATGAAAGAGAGTTGTTTTGAGATAATTCTCAATTATTTAAAATTCTCAATATATAGTCATATATTTATGAATCATTACCTTATTACAACCTTAGAGCACCTCCATTACATATATTTTGGAGTGTCTTTAAAATTTTAAAATAATAAAAAAAATGAAATAAATAAATGAAAGTGTCTTAAAATTAGAGAGAGTGCCTCTAGGGAGACATTTAAGACACCAAAATAGAAGGAGTCTTTAAATTTTAATATTATATTATTTTAAAGACATTCATCAATGGTTTATGAATGGAGATGGTCTTAGTTATATGGGCTACTGGACTTCCGTGAGACTCTATTTTACATTTTTATATGAATCCTCTAATAGACCATGATCCATGATTGAGATCAGTTCGTGACTAATTCGAAAAGTGCCTTCGCCTTGACAATGAAATTTAAAATCATGTAAATCTACCATATTTAACTATAGTGTATAGTAGGCTCGAGTATCGAATAATACAAACAAAGAAAACTTACGCTTTCTATCTAAAAAAGATACTATGTTTTATTGATTGATATGGGGGAGTACTGTTTTGTTATTTTTCCTAGTGATTGATATGGTCATATGGACAAAAGTTGAAAAGTGAGGTAAAAGGCCCAATAAACTTATTTGCATGATCTTTCTTCCATGATTTTATACTCAAACCGGCAGCCTTTACATCAATTTAAAATTAGAGCCGTTAGTTGTTAAATAGCTATGTTTTGGGCTGTGAAAAAAAGAAAACGAAGGATATTAATGATGTAATAATAGTTAAGAATCACACATGAACAATGAAAATGAAACCAACACTAATATACAAGGGACATGAAACAATTTATTCATTATCAATTAGTTATGAGTTAAACACCAATGATTCTTATAAAATAACTATGTTACTTTTACTTATGCATAGTTTTATTTCATATGATTTGCATGTTTATATTGATAAGAAACTAAGAAGGTGTAGAGGGTACAAAACATATATAAGATTCAAAAAAAAAAAAAAAACATATATAAGATTCGGAATGCGTCGAATCAAACTTTTGTATTCGTTCTTATTAGATGATATGACTTTTTACAATAGATCAGATCTACACGCGAATATTTAGCCCCGACTAAGAACGACTATAAGTCTAATATCTCTTCTCTATTCTAACCATGCACCCGTGAAGATAAAGAGAGATCTACACACTCACCTTCTCAGCTCTTTTTGTTAGCTTCGACGTTTACAATCTGGTATGAAAATTCTAGAGTGATCAACCCGGCTTGTGCCTCACTCTAGACTATTTATACAAAACCCCTAAACCCTAATCCTAGGATCTACGAGGATATCCCCTATAGATACACCTTGCTTGTCAATGCTATCTCTTCCCTTATTCGTTGTGGAGAATATTCACCAAATCCCACAACTTTTATTTCTCCTTACTTCATGCCAAGCCACAAAAGCTTCTTGGCAGCATCACACCATCCATTCCTGCTTTGCCACATCAGCTCCCGCATCCATGTCAGCAGCTTCGTCGTCTGATGTGATCCGATGCAGCTTCCTGATATCCAGGGCCGGCCCATGGGTAAAGCCCATGAAGCAAGGGCTTTAGGCATCAAATAATTATAAATAGTTTTAGGGGCATCAATTTTTAAAATGTTACTGTGGTCTAGTGGTTAGATTGAAGTCTTTTGTTGTACATGTCACGGTTTCGAATCCCATACATGTTAAAACTTGTATTTTTTTTTTATAACAGCTTTTGTTAATGGGCCAAAATTTTTTTTGCTTTAGGCACTCAAATAGTTTGGGACGGCCCTGCTGATATCCAAACAGTTTCCTGATGACTGATGTCCATCAGTTTTCTAGTTCTCAGAATCTACATTTCATAAACATTTAAAATCCATGTGAATGATTATAATATAATAAGGCTATAGTCATGTATTGAACATCAGTTATTCAAGCATCTCGATTTTTATATGAGTTAAATAACTTCTCATTTGCAGATCTCTATTTTCAGTACTACTAGTGGTAAATTTTCAGTTTTATTTTTAGAATTAGGGATCAGATGCTTTTAAACTACAAATTAAAAAGAAAAAGATTAAGTCTCTAAAACGAGAGAGGTTTGCTACTCGCATTCCATACCAATCCCATAAAAGAAGCTCAAGTCTCTTGGTTTATCTTCGGCATCTTACTCCAAAATAAATGATTTTGTTCTACTGTCACTTATATTGTTAAACAGTTTTTTGAGTTCGAATAAATTTTGCATTCAATTAATTATTTTTTTGTTTTTAGAAAAGTACTTAAAATTCGTAGTTAAAATTGCACATAATAATATAACTAATGCAGGGAAAGTACGCATTCGAAGTACTTCAAATTCTTAAGACACATGCGTAGATTTCAAATTAAGGACAATTAAACAAATAAAATCTCTTCTAGAGATATTGTGCATGCATGTCCGTTATGTTGCTTTAAGTGTTTACTTTTTTTTTTCTCTCATAAATTATTTGTTAGCTCCATCTATCAAGGTAATCTCAATCAAAATAAATAATTAATTAAAAAACGTACAAAATAATTGATTTTTATAAAGATGGTTCAGTCCTACAGAGCATATATATGTCTCTCTTTTTTTTTAATCCAAGGCCATTTTTGCAATGCAAAAACATCGTTTTATTGTAATTACATAAATACATTTAAGACAAAACATTCGTTACAGTTTCGTGTTCGTCTAAGTGTTGAATCCTTAAAATTATACTACTTGTTAAGGTTGGAATAAATTTACACTGGGATGCATTTAAGTAATTTGTATAGAAACAAATCTTAATACATAAATAGTGAATATTTTAAACTTTCTTATTAAAATATTAAACTCTCTCTCAATTCAATCCTCTCCTACATGAATTATTTTCCTTCTTATTAATTCGCATTTATGACTATATTTATATATCTTTGAACATCGTAAAGTTCAATTACATGCTTACGTGATTATAAAAAAAAAAGTATAAGTCAATTTTAGTGTGCTAATTTCATATGGTATATTCATAAAATCAATTTAATGAAGGTATGATGTATAATGGGTAGATGCATTTAAAGTGAAGTAAGTTGCAGAAAGTACACCGGTTTATATGGGATCGTCCATGTGCACGTATATAG